CAGGGTTGGCACTAGAAGCTTTTTTTTGGGGCCCATAGTGGCTTATTTAGCAGTTACAAGCACTATAAACAATAGAATAATACAAAATGTATTGAATGTATGCATGCAAGCAGCCACCCTGGCTTGTAAACAATGATGGCAGGGCTGGATGGACAGGTTTGGGATGAGTCATGTTGGTCAGAAACAGCTGATGGTGGTGCAGCAGCAGCTGACTGTGGTGCAGCAGCAGCTCACCGTGGTGCAGCAGCAGCTCACCGTGGTGCAGCAGCAGCTGACTGTGGTGCAGCAGCAGCTCACCGTGGTGCAGCAGCAGCTCACCGTGGTGCAGCAGCAGCTCACTGTGGTGCAGCAGCAGCTCACCATGGTTCAGCAACAGCTGACTGGTGCAGCAACAGCTGACCGTGGTGTAGCAGCAGCTGACTGTGGTGCAGCAGCAGCTGACCGTGGTTCAGCAACAGCTGACTGGTGCAGCAACAGCTGACTGTGGTTCAGCAACAGCTGATTGTGATGCAGCAGCAGCTGACTGTGGTGCAGCAGCAGCTGACTGTGGTGCAGCAGCAGCTGACTGTGGTGCAGCAGCAGCTGACTGTGGTGCAGCAGCAGCTGACTGTGGTGCAGCAGCAGCTGACTGTGGTACAGCAGCAGCTGACCATGGTGTAGCAGCAGCTGACCATTGTGCAGCAGCAGTTGACCGTAGTACGATAGCATGTATTTCCCACCCTTTTTACATATGATCACTTGAGAGATGGTATCTCCTGCTATCTGTTTTTCGTTTATCCACTTCATTTCCATAGTAATTTTCACCTTTTTTACTGCACGGTTGGCACTAGAAGCTTTCTTGGGGCCCATGGTGACTTATTTTGCAGGTACAATCACTAAAAATGCTGTGATAATATGAAATGTTATGATTGTATGCGTGGATGCGACTGCACTGGCTGGCTTGTAAACACTGGCACCCACGGGACAACTGAGGCACGCTCAGGCCACATGTGGACGAGTCTCGAACGAATCGCGTTGGGTGAGTTTTTTAGCGTTAGCTGAGGCAAAATTTTTGCGTTAAAATGTATCGTTAGCTGGATTTAACGTTAGCTGATGCCATCGTTAGCTGATGCCATCGTTAGCTGAGGGTCCACTGTATAGGTGTTTTACTTTTTTATTGTTTTTTAATGCCTAGTTCTATTGCTAACTTGATATATGTTAGTGTAAACTTGTTATCTAGTATTTATTTGCATTTATAAGTGGAAAAAAAGGGTGTTCCGCTTTACGGCAATTTCCGCTTTATGGCGGTAGCCTGGAGTCTAACCTGCCACATAAGTGGGGCCCTACTGTACACATATATAGTCAGTGGACACTTTTATAGAACTGCTATTATCTTCTGGAAGCTTGTGTTGTGTGTGTGGACTCCTAAATGTGCTGAGTAAGGGTCTGGCAGTTGTCAAAATGACATATTACTGCCTATTAACATCCATGGGGTCCCATGCCTTCCTCCTCACTTCTTTCATTACTACTTACCATTCTTTATTTATTTTTCTTTCTTTCTCTTTCCTTCTGTTTCTTTCTTTTTCTTCCTTTCTTCTGGTATCCTGGGCATTGCTTTCAGTCATAAACTCCTTTAAAACATGAAATTCATCTTCACTGACACTTCCATCTGTGTTAGAGTGATCACTTGGGAAGAGAAGAGTCCTAGATTCGTCAGGAGTCACATGACTCGCAGCAATGGCTTTAAATTGGAAAAATTCAGATTCAGGAAGGATATAGGAAAGCACTGGTTTGGTAATAGAGTTGTGGATGAGTGGAACAAACTCCCGAGTACCATCATAGACGCTAAGACATTGTGTAGTTTTAAAAATATGTTGGATAAATACATGAGTGGGTATGGGTGGGTGTGAGTTGGACCTGACTAGCTTGTGCTACTAGGTCGGATGCAGTGCTCCTCCTTTAAGCGACGTGTCTGACCTCACTAGGTCAAGGCATTGGCTTAAGCCGGTGGGAGAATTGGACCTGCCTCGCATAGGCCAGTAGGCCTGTTTCAGTGTTCCTTCTTTCTTATGTTCTTATTTCTTACCATTGGGCATGCTGAACAAGGTCTACTGAAATGGCATTCCCACAATGCACCACTGGCTCCCCAATTATTTTTATACTGCACACATTGTCTATGAAGACCCATTCTCTCACATGAGGGCCTACCAACTTTCTCTTGCTTGATTTGAAGCCACTAGAATTTTGGTGTAATACAGGAAGGCCCCGCTTTACGGCGTTTCACTTTACGGCGTTCCGCTAATACGGACATTTCAAATTATGACCAAAACTCGCTATACGGCTCCCCCCACCTGACTTTCTAATACGGTCACCGTGCCCCACCCTGTTTGTTTACATTCTCCATGAGCTCAGTAAGCACTAAGTCTCTCCATTTTGTCTGGAAACTCCAAAATTTCAAATGTTTTTAAAAGTTATTTCATATTTTATATATACTCTGATAATTATACTTATGTATACCTGTACCTAAATAAACTTACATACTGTGCTGGCATGCAGGTACACATTAAAATTGGTAAGTGTCTTATGTCTCCAGACGTCAAATATTAGTAATGATAATAATAATCATCGAGTCATTTAAATGTCGTATATTACGTTAATATACACATTTTCATTAATCCATCCATGATATTTTTTTCAAAATTATATAATAAACACGATGCATAACATATAAATAAGATAAATACACCCCACAGTAGAATAAATAAACATAAATGTGAGATGTGGTAGCAGACGACTTGCACAAGTGACGCCATATTAGAAATGATAATAATAATAACAATACTCACCGAGTCTCATTAAATGTCGTATATTACGTTAATATACACATTTTCATTAATCCATCCATGATATTTTTTTTCAAAATTATATAATAAACACGATACATAACATAAAAAGATGATAAATACACCCCACAATAGAATAAATAAACATAAATATAAGATGTGGGAGCCACATAACTTGTACAAGTGACGGCAAGAATAACATTTTCTCTAATCTAACATAAGAGAAAATGTGTTACTGGGGGTAACTAGAAAATTATTCCTTTCGTATGTATGTAAGTAAGTTTATTCAGGTATACACAAATACAGTTACATAGATTATCATACATAACAACATACGTGTAGAGAACCTAGGATAACCCAAAAAAGTCAGTGCGACTTATTTCCATTGCCTTCACTCAGAGCTTCATTTCTTCTCAAAATGATGTTACATGAGAATGGGAGTGTTCTTCTTTATTAATTCTACCGTATCAATGTAGAGACAACCTGTACACAATGTAACTTGTACACAAACCAGACGTGTACACTTCGTTTGTTTACAAAACTTACGTTCGCCTGGTTTGTTTACATAACTCTGCGCCTGTCCCCTCTCATGTACTCATTCTTTCTCTCTCTCATTTATTTGTTTTATCTCATTTACTTACTCCTCACCCTACATTAAGACTACAAATATTTTAAGGTAAGTAATGAGTGAACTGTATATATACATTTTATCGCTCTGGGATACTTAAATATCATAGAATAGTATGTGTGGGTGGGGTGGCCTGGTAAGGTAGCCTGGCTATTACCATGCATACCACACTTGATTTCTTACAATAAATACTACTTGTCTCACCCTAGATTAAGACTATAAATATTTTAAGGTAAGTAATGAGTGCACTATGTGTGTATTGTACTTTTTTATTGTTTTTTGATGCCTGGTTCTATTGCTAACTTAATATATGTTAGTGTAAACTTGTTATCTAGTGTTTGTATGCATTTATAAGTGGAAAAAAAGGGTGTTCCACTTTACGGCGGTTTCCGCTTTACGGCGGTAGCCTGGAACCTAACCTGCCGTATAAGTGGGGCCCTCCTGTACGTCAAACACATTGGCTCATAAGACGTATATATACGACTGAAACAGTCAAAGGGCTAATCTATAAAAAAATAATTTTTTGTTAATACTTTTGGGGGTCTAGAATGGATTAATTGGATTTACATTATTTCTTATGGGGAAAATGGTTTCAAAATTCGTGAATTTTGACTTTCAGAAGACTCTCTAGAATGGATTAATCACAAAATTCAGGGGTCCACTGTACAACCATAAAAACCAAGACTGGGTATTGTGCCAGATATTATTCATTCTGAAGTATTTACTGTGTTTTTATGTTATTTACATTGTTTATTATGTCATATTAGATCAATTGTGATAGGTAAATAAGCTGTAGTGTTGATACTAGTGTAATAATAAAGCATATTCCCCTGCATCACGAGACTGAACTCATGGCAACTGATAGTGGCTTCAAAGCCACTTTACTTTTTATGGACAATGTACGATGTATGTGCTTTACACAACGAGAAGGATTTCTTTTATTCATTGGAACCATGGGTAGGGCTAAAAGTAAGCAGGTTATAACAATAAATGGAGAAAAATAAATTGGAATGACTTATGCAGCAAGTAGCACCACGAAACAGTTGCAGTAGGTTGGTGTGGCAACCTTGGAAATTTGAAATTTTGCTAGCCGAAATTAGTGCTGGATTACTGATGGAACCGGATGACTGATTGCCGGATTAGTGATGGCGGACCTGTACCATATAATACTTAATATCTAAAATTTGTAATGTGTATTGTAAACAGTATAGATTAGATATGATGTGCTTATTTCAAAAGTATTATACACTTATTGGATGCTCTTAAAGTTCACAATTATTTGAATTTTTTGTATATTTTGAGTGATAATGTAGTTTGCCTAGCATTTTCTTAACTTTGTATATCATTTCAAAAAGTACTTGGTCAGTCCTATCTGTGATCTCAATACCTAAAAGATGCTTTTACATTTGTCTAATACTTTGATTAAAAATTTTGTCCCTTGTAATTTTTAATGGTTTTCAACTTAGGCTGTGTATAATTTCAGGTATGATTAAAAATTTTGTCCCTTGTAATTTTTAATGGTTTTGAACTTAGGCTGTGTATAATTTCAGGTATTTTGTCACTGTTCATGGCTTCTGCCGGTGCCAAAAAAGTATATGCTGTTGAAGCAAGTGGCATAGGCGTGGTTATTCAGAAAGTAGCCGAGGACAATGGCTTTGGAGATGTTATCAAAGTGTATCATGCTAAAGTAGAAGATATATCTCTCTCGGAAAATGAAAAAGTGGATGTTATTGTATCTGAGTGGATGGGCTTTTATTTATTACACGAGTCTATGTTAAATTCGGTAATATGGGCAAGAGATAACTTTCTTGCAGATGATGGGACAGTCTTTCCATCAGAAGCAAGAAAATATGCTTGTCCATGCTCAATAACATCCTTTTATAAAGAACAAATAAGCTTTTGGGGCAGTGTTTATGAGTTTAACATGTCTGCTGTAAAAAAATATGCCTTAAAATCTAAAATGACCAAGCCATAAGTGTGTCTTGTTCCAGAATCCGATTTGCTAGCAGACCCAGTCTGTGTTAAAAAGTTTAATCTACGATGGGTGTCAGAAGATGATGTAAAGTTTTTTCAAGAGACAGCCTTTGCTGGTATCACTAAACCTGGAAGTTATCAAGGACTCTGTTTCTGGCTTGAATGTGATTTTGATGGCATAGACCATGATGAAGATGGACAAGCATTTGGAACATTGACAACTCTCTCAACTTCTCCATTCAGTCCACCTACACACTGGAAACAAATAGTTGTTGTTCTTGGGTATGGAGATGAAAATAACCAACAAATGGAATTAACATGTGAAGAAGACATAGACTGTAATGAAGATTTAAATATTGGCACTGAGAATGTGGGAAATTCATCTCATGATAAGGAAGAGAAACTTGATATTGTGAATGATAACCAGGAAAGTGTCTGCCCTGAAGGACAGGATGAGTGTAGAACACCAAATATGCCAGATGGAACTTTTGATGAGATAAGTCTGTCCAGCCTTAATAATAGAGTAGAAACTGACGAGGTAGTTGGCTGGAAGATTACATTAGCTCAGTGTGAGAACAATATGCGCCATTATACCATGACTGTTGAAATGTTAGATCCTGAGACAGAGGAGCATCCAGTGCCATGTTCCTGCCCAAGACCACAGTGCCTCATCATTAGCAAGATGTTAGAGAAAGAAGAAATGGAAAATGAGGATACAGATTCCTCATAGGTTTATACTGCACATTAAAAACAAATTGTTTCTCATCACTTGCTAACTTTTATAAACTTAAAATGTTTACCCCTCAGATACATTGTCATTTCATAAACTGTCCATGACAAAAGATCCTTGTTATCCAGCTTCGCCTCTTCAAGGGGGGCTCCTTGGCGTGGTGAAGAGGCTCATGGTCTGAGGAATTAGACCTGTCGATGTGATAGAAACTTTGTGATCTTTGAAGGTGAGATTTTCTGACATTATCACTCCAAAGTCCTTCACATTAGTTTTTTGCTCAATTGTTTAGTCAGAATTTGTTTTATGCCTCAAACATCATTGCTAACTCTACTATTTTCTATTCTGTTGTTACATTATTTATGGTGTTTGTACCTATCACCTAAAACCCATCGTTATTCAAAATCTGCTGTTAGAATGATCACTCAATCAAGTTTCAAAATACACACACATTCCCTATTCAAAAGATTGTATTTGCTCAGTATACAAAATATCCACATTTACTACTATGCATACAATGTATAAAAGACACTCAGTTCAAATATTAACCCAGTGCTTAAACTCATCTTGGAGAGCTTCAACAGAATGCATACACAGGATGCAAGTATTTCTTTGATATACCCTTTATTGGATTTGATCTGTTTAGAAACTTCATGCGGATAAAAGGTCCTAAAATATGGAACACTGCCTGAAGATGTGAAAGGTTTCCTATCTACTAACTGCTTCAAAAATAGTTAAAACAACACCTAAATATACTGTAAATCTTACACTGATTGATTGTAAGTCTAATACAGCCTCTCCTCACCAAGTGATGTACTCATTTACCGATGCCTCGGACTTATGATGGGGTCTCTGGTCAGTATTTATACCTAAATAATGTATATTAAAGCTGATTTTCTCTATTCTTTTTATTTCAATATACAGTACACTACTGTATAAACATTTAAAAATATACCATAAATGTTATAAATGGTGCAAAGGTGACATTAAAACAATATCAAAGATGGTTGACACAAATCCACTACCATTATAGAATGCTCCTCACTTAGCGACAAATTCGTTTAACGATGTGGTCTTAGGAACGTAACTCCGCTGTTAAGTGAGGAGAGGCTGTATTTCTATTGTTACCTATTTTCCCAGTTCCAGTTAGCATTCATGCTAATGCATCATTGATAGTCACCATAACATTCCTACCACCCAATAATTGAAATAATGAAACTTGTCAGTCCAGTCAAGATTACTGTCCCTTTATATCAACTTTATACAGTATTAAACAGCATTCAAGCAGTCCAAACCTTCAGTATAGTGTTAAGACTGTCAGGCTGCCTGAAATGCTCTGCATAACTAGGGACTGCCCATTAAGTTTGTAATTTTTTGTTTAACACACCGGCCATTGGTCACCAAGGCTGGGTGACTTGAAAAAGAAGAAACAAAAGTGTTTCTTCTTTTTACATTTAGTAATTCGTGCAGGAAATGGGTTACTATCCCATTGCTCCTGGCATTTTAGTCGCCTCTTATGACACGCATGGTTTACAGGGAAAATCCTTTTCCACTTCCCCATGTAGAACTTTGCAATACATATATGATACTTATTTTTAAAAACTTTTAGAAACAAAAATTTATATTTCAATTTCAAGATGGGGCAGATTCATGTATCATAAGTTATGTAAAATCTTCCCTATTTTTTTTTTTTTTTATAATTTGTTATGACTGAACCCAGTAAAAGGATTATTTTTATACAAATATGTGGTGGCACTAGGGCTGAGGGAGGGGTGGTAGAGATACTACACCCCTCTTCCTCTACCCTCATGACACCCAATAATTATCCTAAAAATCTCTTTTGTTGGGCTACACCACCCTTAGAAGCTGCCTTCCTCTAGAATGAGTGCCTCAGGGATTGCTCACCCACAGACCTTAGCTTTAGGGGTAGACCCATCTTCCAGATGAGATGACATAGGAAGTTGTTATCTTTGAACAGCAAACACACAGGAACAACTTAGTTAACCTTTACAGTCAAAGACCCATTAATATGGAAATCTCTGCTAGCCAAAATGGCTTATGGCATTATCAAGGCTCACAGTTGTCCCACCACAAAATGATAGATACCTATATTGTTGAACATACTAACTATTGTTTGGAAGTTAGGAGGTGGTGCAGGATTACCAAAACTGTTGTCCAGAGGGCTGAGGAAGGGTTGTTGAGGTGGTTCGGACATGTAGAGAGAATGGAGCGAAACAGAATGACTTCAAGAGTGTATCAGTCTGTAGTGGAAGGAAGGCGGGGTAGGGGTTGGCCTAGGAAAGGTTGGAGAGAGGGGGTAAAGGAGGTTTTGTGTGCGAGGGGCTTGGACTTCCAGCAGGCATGCGTGAGCGTGTTTGATAGGAGTGAATGGAGACAAATGGTTTTTAATACTTGACGTGCTGTTGGAGTGTGAGCAAAGTAACATTTTATGAAGGGGTTCAGGGAAACCGGCAGGCCGGACTTGAGTCCTGGAGATGGGAAGTGCAGTGCCTGCACTCTGAAGGAGGGGTGTTAATGTTGCAGTTTAAAAACTAGTGTAAAGCACCCTTCTGGCAAGACAGTGATGGAGTGAATGATGGTGAAAGTTTTTCTTTTTTGGGCCACCCTGCCTTGGTGGGAATCGGCCAGTGTGATAATAATAAAAAAAAAACTAACTAACTATTGTATTAACCCTTTCAGGGTTTCGGATGTACTAGTACGGCTTACGCACCAGGGTTTTTGATGTGCTAGTACGCCTAAATTCTAGCGCCCTCAAATCTAGTGAGAGAAAGCTGGTAGGCCTACATATGAAAGAATGGGTCTATGTGGTCAGTGTGCGCAGTATAAAAAAAATCCTGCAGCACACAGTGCGTAATGAGAAAAAAAAACTTTGACCATGTTTTTGGATTAAAACAGTGACTTTGCACTGTATTTTCGTATGGTATTTATTGTTGTATTCTAGTTTTCCTGGTCTCATTTTATAGAATGGAAGACATATTACAGAAATTGAGATGATTTTGACTGGTTTTACAATGAAAAGTACCTTGAAATTGAGCTCAAAATAGCAGAATTGTTCGATTTTTACCAAAGTTCAAAAGTAAATAAGTCATGCTAAGCGTCCAATACACGTCAACTGGTGAGTCTAACATTCTTTCACACGTGCGCTGATATTATTTATACCATTTCTACACTAATGCAGTAGTCTGCATAACAGTAAATCTTCAATTTTTTGTGAGAATAAAAATTCAAAGTGGAAAGCAAAAGAATGTAAGAGGGGCATGGGGATGTGACTAATGAACAGAGGAAATGTTATTTTAGTGCCAGGAATGTCTTTCTTGTTTATTCTGGACCCTATTTGGAAATTGGCATCTTTTGAAATTTGTGTGAAATTGGCAAAATTGCTAAATTCTGACCCACTGTATTGGATAGTTGAAATTGGTAAATGGGTGGTTTCTTGTACTCATTCGATAGAAAAAATGGAGTTCTAGCGAAATAGTTATGATTTTTGTCGACTAGTACACTGGAATTGTGCCGAAAATAGGGCTCAAAGTGGGCAAAATCGCTGATGCTTAAACATCGTCGAGACCGCTAACTTCGCGAGAGCATAATTCCATAAGTTTTCCATCAAATTTCATACTTTTGATGTCATTAAGATTGGGAAAAGATTCTCTATCTTTTCATAAGATTTTTGAAATTTGAGCAACCCTGAGAACAAGTCTGGGAGAGGGCCTGGGGACCCTGAAAGAGTTAAAGGGCATTGGTAAGTATTTTATGCAAATTATTTTAATCTTAGTCATGTACCATACATAAGTCATTAAAGTAAAGCTGCATTTTTTAAATGAAGTAGGGAGTAGAAAACAACTATGAAAAAAAAATCACATTTTATCTGAATCATACTATATAATCAGACCTCTGATGACAAAGGATGCAAAAGTTGGAGATGTGTTTTGTTTTAAAACACAAAAATAAATAAAAGAATTTACAATGAGTGGAAAATACTATACAGTATTTACACTAAGCTTATCTATACATCAAATGAAGTACAGATTAAATTACATTACAGTATTACTTACAAATGAAAAAGATATACTTTGTGCCTTCAAAAAAAAAAAAAAATTTCCAGCCTAAGGTATTTTTTTTAGGGAGCCATGTGGTTAGTTCATCATAACACAGCAGTTAGTGGTGATTCAACTCAATGAATGGAAGATGCACATTTGCAATTCAGTCACTTTTCTTTCTGGATAAAAATGACGATGCTTTTTACATGTCAATAAATTCAGATTTCTGACATTGCCTATATGAGGCTTCACATATGATACTGGAATGATGAAGACATGAGTGGCACTGCACTCTCTGTAAGTGGAGAAGAGTTGTGATGTGACACAATATAACACTACAGATTCCCTGAGCTGTGTGTGTCTTTCCATGAGTACAGCTTGTCAGTCTCTAAAATACAGCTTCAAGTAACATTATTTTGTACAGATTTTCCTCAATAAGTCAGTATTTAGTATACTGTACACAGTGATAATACATACATTAATATATAATGCATTATTTGTATTGTAAAATACAATGGAAGGTGTGGCCACTGAGAATACATACAATTTACAACAAGTATCCTCTAATTTACATTTCACATACATCAGAGCACCTACAGACTAGGTCAATATCATTATTACACTCGTGAGATCTTTTACATCATAAAACCAACAGGCTCATTTTATGTACATTAAATATTGCCTTAGCTATCATTAAAATGAAATGATACTAATCTTAACAGCTAAATATATTAACTCTACTATTTGGGTACCCTTACACATCCAGTTGTGGCAGTGCGAGTGGTTCTCAGGACAATACAGAATGGCAATAGCGCTCTGGTGACTGTGGATAACTACTACACTGTATGGGTCTCTTCTTTTCTACCAAACACAATTCATGTCATGTATACAATCATACACACATGGAACAGTACTACACTCACACAGTTATGAAAGACTTTTTATATATACATTTTTTCATTTTATACTTTTTAATATATTTTTCCTTAATCCTAAGTTTCTCACTTTAGTATCTGAAAAACAAAAGTTCACCTACAAATCAAATAAAGACCTGGACTATCTAACTTGTGACATTAGATGAGAATTAATGCTGTATGCCCAGAACACTGAAGACATAAATAAAGGCATTTCACGGTAAACCTAACTAGCCCAAGTTGTGTATTAAAAGAATATTATTTAAATACACTTTTGTATGCTGTTTTATCCAAACAAATTCAAGTGTACATGTACATTACATTTAAATAACTGGCATAAGGAGATTCAAATCTGAAATACTAAGAGGTGTTCAAAGACAACAGATTAGAACCAGACATATGGTAAGGACTGTTGACAAAGATGGACAAAGAAGAGCACACAAAACTAAGCTTTTGTTGTAGACAGTGTTTTGCCTGGGATAAACATAATCACATTTATTGAACAAAACAGCAAAAAACAGGCCTAAACACCCCTTCTATATAAAATCAGTGGAGTACCATATATAGCCTTGTATTTTTGTGCTTTATTGAACAATCTTTAAAAAGTTCATTCCAAGAAAAAAACACTGGCCTTGTATGAAACTTCTCTTCAGAGTACAGGCTATAAAAAACATCGGAGTACAGGTGTCCCTGGCTTTATGCATTGTGTGTGTTCCAGGACCATGGTTGCCGTACCAAGTTCAATCCAGCCATCAATGAAAATAAAAACTATTTCTAGAACTTACAACAGTTATAATTAAAATACTCATAATTACCGTATTTTGCAGCATATAAGACTCACAATACAGTAGTTATTAAAAGATACAAAACAATAATTATACATAATGAAGATCTTTAATATATTGTGAATCATAATGATTGCATATTGTAACTGTATTGTGCATGCATGGAATTAGTGGTAAAAATGGGACCATCTAATAGTAAACTCAGACACTATGAACCTACACAAAACAAGGGACACCTGATATAACATTATCATCTTGCATGAAGCTTTTAAATTTTTGTTGTAATTAAAAAAAAAAATAATATGATAATTAACCCTTAAACTGTCCAACCGTAGATCTACGTTTTTTCAACGTTTGAAAGTATGTAAAAAACGTAGATTTTTTTTTTTTACATTTGAAAACGTGTAAAAAAACTGATGTACGTTTTTTTTTTGTTATATTTGAAAATATGTAAAAAAACGAAGATCTACTTTTGGAGCACTACGCATGTGAATGTAAATCTGTTTGGACAGTTTAAGGGTTAAAGATAAAAAGAATTACTACTGTACACTGTACCAATAACTGAATATAAGAATTATTCAAAGAAGGGGTAAAAGTTGTTCTGCATTTTGAGCATGGCATGCCATTTAATGACCTTACTAATAATCAAATCATCAATATTTCAGTTTTTGTAGTAATGTTGCATGTCAACCACACACAGTGGGAGACAGCCGACTTGTTGAAAAAAAAAAAATATATGACTATTCTTTGCCAGCATAAATATCAATAGATTCTCCTTAATCAAGAAGACTGGGCAAAGTGCCTACAAGCTGGTCACTTTAAATAGCCATTGTGATGAATAAATTAATATACAGTACTGTACTTGAATGTTCTTCATAAAACACCCATTATCTATACTTCATACAACATATTACAGTACTCTATAAAATATATTACAGTACTTTATAGTACATGTCTTGTTACAGTATTTCATAGTACATATCTTTTTATAGGACTTCATGGTACATATCTTGTTACAGTGTTTTATAATACATATGTTGTTACAGTATATCATAGTATGTATATATCTTATTACAGCACAGTATTTCATAGTCCAGTACATATCTTATAATGGTAATTCGTAGAACATATCCTTTACCCCTTTAAACAGCCTGTCAGTTTTAGCACTTGCGATTGTTCACTGCACGAGAGAATTTTCCAGGCACCATCATATCGTTTCGCTTAGCACGTTTATTGCCAGCTGCAGCCACCTCCCGTGCTTTATTACTACGTTCTAGGGGCTTGCGCTTCAGGCGTCGTTCCTCCCGGCGACGCTGGGCCTGCAAGGTATACATTACATAAAACAACAGTCTGAAATTAAAAAGTAAATTTCTAAAACTGAAGATAAAAATTCACTGTAAATTATCAATTGATCAGGTATTACATTAATATAAGAATTTAAAAATAAATTTCTTACCCAAATTTTGATGTGTTCACAATCACCAAAGTTGACAATGTTAATTAAAAGTTAGAGAAGTTCTCACCTTCTGTGCTGGCCTGAGCACATCAATAGCTTGAAGGAGGGTAGATGCTCTCTGGGTCACACTTGATCGACTTGCTGGGATCTCTACTACCTGGCTGCCACCCTCACTACCAGCATCTTCTTTCATGGGGGTATCCTCATTATCATCAGGGGTTGGCTGGGAGGAGGGTGAAGCTGAAGGGGAAGAACGGGAATATGGGGAGGAATGAGACATGATGCGACGAGGAAATATTCTTGCGATGGCTGCGCTGGTGTAAGTGGGGCGTGGCAGGTAGACAGACATGCTGGGGTGTTCTATAAGCAGATTTTCTAAAGGAGAGGTGGCTAGGGGGGCTGCCTGCGATCGTGTGAAGCACGGTGGTGGGGTCATTAGCCATCCCTGTGTTGCCCCCTCGCATGTCTCTCCAACAAAGCTTATCGGTGACGTTGGTATGGAAGATGATGCTGCTGATGATGATGATGATGCTGTTGCTGTTGTTATCAGGTGCAAAGACTGGCCCTCACCATAACTCGTATCACCAACCTCTGCTGAACACCACCACCACCATTAGTGCCACGCCCTCACCTCACCTACATTACACCAACACAGTTTTTTTTATGTACGTACACTTATTATCAACATACAAACTCTACAGTATATCACTAATCATAAAGAAACATAAAAATTCACTACTGTTCTAACCCTAGAATGTCTACAAAAATCTATCCATGCATAAAATAAGCTTTTCAATAAGATGCTATACTAAAGCATTTAATTTACAGTTTAGATTTTAAGTTGTTTAAACAATGCAAAACACAAGGCAAGTAGTTTTTGATTTTGAGTTGAACAATTAGTGTATAAAAGATATGACATGAAAAACTGGTATAAGAGGAAAATACTAAGCTGCAATAAAGCTATTATATAATGGCAATGCATAAAACTTTGTGAAACTTTAGAAATGTGTAAAAGCAGGTCAAGGCTTTGTAGTGTCCCCATGATTAATATTTATGTGGAGAGAATGGTAAAAAGTGAAAGCAAGGGGAAGCAATGCTACAACAAAATAATGGTAAGACACCATTATCATTCCTGATAAGTATTTTTCATAATGATTAAGTAATAATGGCAGAAAGAAAGTCACAAAATATAATAAATGATTTTAAGATCATGTGTACAATAGAACAAATAAAATGCTAGTAAAATTATTTCTAGTGAGTGTGAAGTGTTTTACTTTATAAAATCAACAGGAAGAATGTGATGAAGATACCAATTACAATGGGTGAAGTAAAAGAAGAATTTAAAATATTTAACTGAAATACAGTAACAGATTTCAGAAATATGGGGCAAAATCCCATGGGTCAATTAATTCAGAAACAACAGAAATAGCCTGCTACAGAATTGTTTGTTGTTACAGCAAAAGACTCTCATTTCTATCCACTACAATTGCATTGCTGTATAGCCCTTGTGGCTTAGCGCTTCTTTTTTATTATAATAATAATAATACAATTGCATTAGCAGCCACTGGCTCCCCTTAATAAATTAAATTAATGGTTTGCTGTAATTGGCATTGATGCTGTGCAAGGAAAATAAAATAAAAAATCATGAGTAGTGGAAAGAAAAATGGTAACCAAGTCCCTAGGAAGGATTATGAAATGGAGAACTGTTGCCATGATTATGAGGGAAAGTATCGTTATCGGTGGGTACTGGCTAATATTGATGGTATTAGTATTGGTATTGGCCCAAAACCAAATATCAGTATCAGTAAAATTTTTGGAATTGTCCCATCATTAGTTTATAGGCGGGCCCTGCTTATACAGCAGGTCAGGTTCCAGGCTACTGCTGTAAAGTGAAACACAATTTTTTTTCACCTTCAAATGCTTATAAAAGTCTGATAACATGTTAGACTATTATATATTAACCCTTTCAAGGTCCATGCTGTAGATCTATGGCTTTGAAGCCAGGGTCCAAACTGTAGATCTATGCCATGAGCTCAGCTCACTCAGATAACCTGTGAGCGATAAATTTGGGCCTAGATATGAGAGAACACATCTATGTGGTAAATGTGCACCATGTAAAACAAATCCTGCAGCATGCAGTGCATAATGAGAGAAAAAAACTGCGACCATGATTTTGGATTAAAACTGCGACTTTGCAGTGTTTTTTTGTATGTTTTTTACAGTTGTATTTGCAATTTCTTGGTCTCATTTGATAGAATGGAATATATGTTACAGAAAGATGATTTTGATTGGTTTTAGCACTGAAAATGGCTTGAAACTGAGCTCAAACTAGCGGAAATGTTCAATTTTTGCCGATGTTCAAGAGTAAACAAATGTAGTCACAAGTCTAATACTGGTGGTCTAATATATGTTCATGAATGTGCTGACATTATTTATACAATTATTACAACACTGCATAACAGTAAATCTTCAATTTTTTTTTGGTATGAATAAAAATTCATTATGTGAATAAAAAAATAAAAATAGAATTAATTTGTAAAGCCTGAAAACATAACTAATAAACAAAGGAAATGTTAATTTAGTGCCAGGAATTCTTGCATTGTTTATGCTAGGCCCTATTTTGAAATTGGAATATTTTGAACTTTGTATTAAATTGGCTAAATTACCAATTTCCGATCACTTTATTGGGTAGTCGAAACAGTTGACTGAGCAATTTCTTGTGCTCAATCGATAAAATAGAAGTAATTCTAGCAAAATAGCTAAGAATCTGGTCGACTGGAATAATGTAATTGGCCTAAAATGGGAGTCAAAGTCAACAAAATCACTGATGCATCAAAATTCGCAAGAGAGTAATTTCATCAGTTTTCCATCAAATATCGTACTTTTTGCTTCATTGCCTTCAGAAAAAGATTCTCTACCATTTCTTAAGAAAAAATAGCAAAAATAAATTTTGAAAATTCTGTCAACAGCCATTTCTGTCTGCTAGTTTCATATTCCGCAGCACTTCAGTGCTGCCCTCTCTAGGCCTACCCAGGTCAGTGGGTCGCTGGGCCCACTCCCTCTCACTTCATGGCCGACTGACTCGAGAGGTACAAGTGCTCCCCTCCACGGACTGGCTATCGGTCATTCCCTCACTTTGCCCATTGTGTACTCACTCATATCCAGTTAAAGCCAAACTAGTCCACAGCCGTATCATTGCTACCTACGCTACCTCCATCGGCACTAAACCGCTGTTCAAACAGCTAGAACTGTAATAACAGTGGTGACAGCGGTGGGATGCTGTAGCGTGGGGTCACTGGGACGTCACATACAATTCTCGAAGAAATTCAGCAAATTTCGGCTAGATCCTGCTTGTACCTGTGTCTGGATGCTGAAACGTGCAGAGACGACATCAGGATAACTCACTGAGAGATGGATGTATCTTGTGTAGGTGATGAAGTGAAGATGACTTCATCCTATTTCCTTCCTCTCTCCGGGCAAACACAACTGCTGCGACCACTGCTTCCCACCAATGTGAACGAGATTATTTGGTGTTTCTGGTAGTGGGTGAGTGAATGATACATCTTCGGAGGATTCTTACTTTATTTGCAAAGTCGTGGTGGGTACACAGGCTTGTGTTTGTGCCCATGGCCCAGGAGGGCCATGCCCACGAGGGAGAGAGGAGTGGGACTGTTGACTGAGTCTAGGCCGCTGAGTGAGTGAGAGCGAGTGGGACCAGTGTCCCACTGACCTGGGCAGGCCTAGAGAGGGCAGCACCTGAGTGCTGTGAAATATGAACTAAGCTGGCAGACAGCATAGGCTGTCTGTGCAGACAGTACAGGCTGTCTACATTTGCTTGGCCACCTACCTCGCATCAAAACTCGGTCTCTCTCTTGCAGGAACAGGGCACAGAACACAAAATAAAAAACATTATATATATATAAAATATATATATATATATAATATATTATAATATATATATATATATATATATATATATACATGTATATATATATATATATATATATATATATATATATAATATATATATATATATATATAAATATATATAATATATATATATATATATATAATATATATATATACATGTATATATATATAAAATATATATATATATATATAAATATATATATATATATAATATATATATATATATATACACAGCAGGGCCCCCCCTTTATGGCGGTTCGCTTTACGGCGTTCCGCTAATATGGACATTTCAAATTATGACCAAAACTCGCTATACGGCTCCCCCACCTGTCTTTCTAATACGGTCACAGCTGCCCACCGAGTTTGTTTACATTCTCCCTGAGCACATCTCCTTATTATGTCTGGAAACTTTCCAAAATTTCAAGTGTTTTAAAGTTATTGTATATTTTATATGTATTGTACTTGATAATTAAACTTGTGTACACCTGTACCTAAATAAACTTACACACTGTGCTGGCATGTAGGTACACATTAAAATCACTAAGTCTCTCTACTCTTGATGCAATAATAATAATAATAATAATAATAATAATAATCTCTTGGGCGCATTAATGTCACATATTACGTTAATATAGACATTTCCCTTAATCTATGATATTTTTTTCAAAATTATATAAGAAACACATTATGTAACACACAAACATGATACATGCACCCACAGTATAAAAATTTATACAAATATATATGAGATGTTTACCAAACGGTTTGTAGAAGTGTCGGAAGAATTACGTTTTCTCTAGCCCGTCACCTGTTACTAGGGATAACTGTAGAAAAAATTTTCCTTTTCCCGTATGCCTTCACTTTATAGCTATAATTCTGTACAACTTGTACACAGTGTAAGAGTATTTGTTTCGTGATTTAATTATTATAATAATAAAAATATTATAAGGTAAAAGTTTAACAAACTCTTACAAATGTACATGAATGAACTAAAACGGGACACGTATTAATACCGTCATTTCGCCTGACCGAGTGATCGGTCCACAACCTGTTCAGTTTGTTTGTTTATGGCTGTCTGAGCTCGTGTAACCCATTAAATGTTGTATATTACGTTAATATAACGCATTTTCATTAATCCATCCGTGATATTTTTTTTCAAAATTATATAATAAACACATACAAACATAAATACATAACAACATATGTGTAGAGAACCTAGGATAACCCAAAAAAGTCAGAGTGACTTACTTCCATTGCCTTCACTCAGAGCATCATTTCTTCTCAAAATGATGTTACATGAAAATGGGAGGGGTTTCTTTTTTATTTATTCTACCGTATCAATGTAGAGACAACCGTACACAATGTAACTTGTACACAAACCAACGTGTACACTGTTTACAAACTTCCCTTTCGCCGGGTTGTTTTACATAACTCTGCGCCTGTCCCTCTCTTCCCTGCACTCATTCTTTCTCTCTTTGGTATGGTAGCCTGGCGACTACCATACATACCACACTTGATTTTTTACAATAAATACTACTCACTCACCCTATAATTTAAGGTAAGTAATGAGTGAACTGTATATACATTTTATCGCTCTGGGTGCTAAAAATCATAGAATAGTATGTGTGGGTGGGGTGGCCTGGTAATGGTAGCCTGGCTGA